TCATCCGTAGAGCCGCACGTGGGAGGTGGGGTCCACAGGCCAGCAGCTACATCAGCATCACCAGGAGCTTGTTAGAAATGCAAATGCTGAGGCCCCTCGGTGGTGTAGTGGTTAAGTTCAGAGCTCTCTGCTTTGGCGACCCAGGTTCACAGGTTCAGGTCCTGGGCACGGACCGAGACCACTCATCAGCCACACTGTGGTGGTGACCCACATACAAAATAGAGGAGGACTGGGATGGATGTTAGCTCAGGGCCAGTCTTCCTCAAGCAAAAAGAGGAGGATTGGCAGCAGATGTTAGCTCAGATCCAATCTCCCTCACCAAAAAAAAAAAAGAAAGAAAGAAATGCAAATGCTACTGAATCAGACACTGGCCCTGAGGCCCAGGAGATCTGTGTTTTAACGAGTCACACAGGTGATTCTGATGTGGATGAAGTTTGAAAAGCCCTGCCCCAACCCCGTGGGCAATAGAGACTAACAGTATAGCTCCCACTATTAACTCTCGGATGTGATGTGTCATGGTACACACCTCTGAGGCTGTTACAGCCTGGTCTGAACCTTATAATAGGCAGAAACACATGTTCAGGACCTTCTGGTGTCCAGACAGAGGGGCCTCCCCAACCGTCTCACTTAAAAGTTACTTTACCCTGCTTTTTTTCATTCACAAAGATACACCACCAAGGGTGCCAGGGCTGCATTTTAAACCTGCCTGAAGTTATTAAAAGGCACATCTCAAGGTTGGAACTAGCTCCTTCTCTCAGAGCTGACCAGGCATGCTGAGGTTCAGAAGGTCCTCTCCTTGCCACTCCCACTGGGGACCCCCAAGACCACTAGGCCATGGGGCCCACCTCTGGTACAAAGAAATCTGTAAGGCTGGTGAAGGCACTGTCAACACAAAATAAATATCAGCGCTGATCTTGAGGAGGAGAGTGGGGTCCATTGAGGAGGCGCTTAACAGGGGTTGATGGTGTTTCTGCCTGAGGTCAGAAAAACTCTGTGTCCAGCCCCATGCTTTTGCCTTCTTCTGACACCCTGAGTGAGGCCTGGCCTGCATGTTGATGACTCTGCACAGCCAGCTAACTCTTTGGGTTCCGTGAGTGGAAGTGAGACAGACAGACAGACAGAGACAGAGTTCTCAGTTTGCTCGCTCCGGGGTAGAATACGGTTACCTTGACTGTAGCCCTCCGCCCCCTGTGATGGAGACCCACACAGGCCGCTTCTGTTTGCTTCACACAGAACCGTGAGAAACAGCCCCGTATGTGAGGCCGTGTTTTTCATTCTATTCAGTCTTTGTATATTCAAATTCTTCCAGTTTCAGCTCTTGCTGTTCTGCCAGATTTCCATCGCATTGATGGCTTCTCTGAATTAATAAGTGTTTTGCAATCACTGAAAAGTTTTCTCCCCTTGAGCGCCGGGACTTATCCAGATTGATTTTTTCTCGCTTTTTCTTGCCTCTCTAGCTACTTCTTAGATGTTTTATTTTGTAAAGCGTTAATAGAATTTTTCTTTCGCCCTGACACTTTATCTATTCAGGAGGGCTTTGCGAGTCCCATTGTACAGCTGGACTGTGGAGGAGAGAGCTCTCTTCTGTGTGACAATGGTCGCCCTAAAAACATACACGGATCCTCCCCCTTGCTCAGCGGGGTGGAGTGAATGTTAGAAGGGCAGCGTCAGAGAATGTCCAGACTCAGGAAGGAAAAGTGGGAGCCAGTTACACACTGTTGAAAGAGGGGTTTGAAATACAGTTTTTAAATTCAAAATATTTCTTTCCTAAGGGGATCTGAGTTTCAGTACCAAAACACAGCCAACACAGAAGGGAGGCTGTTTTCCTTACTGTTAGGCATTTTCGGCTCAAAATAAGGACTTGGCAAACATCTTAGAAAATATGGAGATGGGTGCGAAACAGATGTCACATTTACCTGCGTGATATCCAGCAGGCTTTGCCCCCCCCTCACCCGCACCCCAGGCACTGGAATTCTTCTCGAGGCCCGGGGTCTGAGTCTGCGATACCATATGCTCAAGTGTGACTACTCTGTGTACAAACATACCAGTTGATCTTCTGGGGGTTTTGCTGAGTGGCACATGAGAGGCAGATGGCTGTGGTGGGTATGGCCTCAGCAGGTGCCTGGGAGACTCTTCCAGCCTGCCTTGGAGAAGGTCCCCCATCTCCAAACTAGCATCACCTACTCCCCTCAGCCTGGTGCCCGGGAGAGAGAGGACAGCTTTCCTGCCAGAGGAGCAGTCACCACGCAAGGCCATTTTCCTCCCAGTAACTGACTTCAGAAATGGGGACCAGAAGGGGAAGGCCCCAGGAGTCTGTTTGTTCAGGCCCGGTTGCTTAGCAACAAGAGGGGGCCCTGACTCCAGGAGGGATTTTTAAGCTAGGCCAGTCCCTTCGAGGTTTGTGTCTGGCTTGCCTAGCCCCTCATCCATTCTTCCCTGACTTTGCCTTTCTCCCTATTACATTTGGTAGCATCTAGAAAAATAGATTTGATTTGTCTGGAGGTCTGGTTTTATTGCTTCACCCAGTGTCCTCTTCTCCATTGGAGATTGTAGTCTGGGAGGAGTGAGGAATGAATAGCGTATGATTCCTTTTCTCAGCTGGCTCAGCTCAGGCCTCCAAGCTCATTTGTGAGCCTTTGAGCTCCAGTGAACAGTGCTCAGTTCTTCCCAACCACGCACACACTGAAATTACTCCAAGCACAGAGCCTTCTGGCTAACAGTTTTGTCCACCCACAACCCTGTGGGTTGGGTTGTATTTTTACTGCCAACCTTGGGCACAAAATGAAGGAAGAGACCAGGCTGCTCACCTGGCCAAACAGGTCCAGTCCCCAGGTGAGTAGCTCATTGGCTAGGACAACACTTGCCCTAAAGATGTGTATTTTGAGGAACAAATAGGGGATTGGATCATAAGTAAAAGGAGTGGAATTTAAAGTCGAATCTGGTTCGATAAGTGTGAGTTTCTTGAGCTCTGCGTGGGAATTGAGTGTGGATCCTGAAATCTTACTGCTAGAAATATTAAAAGGGCAGCAGGATGCCTGGGAGGACTGAGGAAGGACTAGGAAGAGAGGCAGAGGATGGATGCCCTTGCTATTTTCTTCTCTTTGGTGCTTTTGAAAAGGTCTTAGCATCAATGTATTAGTCTGCTGGGGCTGCCATAACAAAGTACCACAGACCGAGTGGCTTAAACAGCAGAAATCTATTTCCTCACTATTCTGGAGGCCAGAAGCCCGAGATCAAGGTGTTGGCAGTGTGGGTTTCTTCAAAGGCCTCTCTCCTTGGCTCGCAGGTGGACACCGTCTCTCTGTCTTCATGTGGTCTTCCCTCTGTACCTGTGTCCAGATTTCCTCTTCTTATAAGGACACCAGTCATACTGGATCAGGGCCCACTCTAATGACCTCATTTTAACTTAATTACCTCTTTAAAGACCCTATCTCCAAAAACAGTCACATTCTGAGATACTAGGGGTTGGGATTTCAACATAAGAATTTAGTGGAGGGGACACAATTCGGCCCATAACAATCAAGATGTTCAAGCTGCACTGTTTATAACTGGAAACTGTAAATATCCATGAGAAGGATGATTAAGTAAGCTATAGCTTCTCACTCCATGAAATGCTACGCGGCAGTCAAGACAGTATCCACGATGCCTCACCCCCATTAGGATGACAACTAGCAAAATTACTCCAGGAAAAAATATGTTGGCTGGAATGTGGAGAAATTGGAACTTTGAGCACTGTTAGTGGGAATGTAAAATGGTACAGCCACTGTGGGAAACAGTGTGACAGTTCCTCAAAAATTTGAAAATAGAATTGCCATAGGATTTAGCAATTTCACTTCTGAATATACCCCCAAAAGAATTGAAAGCAGGGACTCAAAGAGATATTTGTGCACCCACGTTCATAGCAGCATTGTTCACACTAGCTCAAACCCAAGTGTCCATCAATGGGTGAATGGATAAGCAAGATGTGGTGTACACATACAGTGGAGTATGGATGAACCTTGAGGACGTTATGCTATGTGAAATAAGCCAGTCACCAAAAGACAAATATCGTGTGATTGTACTTATTTTAAGGTCTTAGAGTAGTCACAGTCATAGAGACAGAAAGTAGAATGGTGGTTGCCAGGGGCTGGGGGACGCAGGGAATGGGGCCTTAGTGTTTAAGGGGTATAGAATTTCAATTTTGCAAGATGAAAGGAGTTCTGGAGATATTTGGTGGTGATGATAGTGCAATATTATGAATATATTTAATACCCCTGAACTCTACCCTTAAAAATGGTTAAGATGGCTTTTTTTTGAAGAAGAAGAAGAAGATTAGCCTTGAGCGAACATCCACTGCCAGTCCTCCTCTTTTTACCGAGGAAGATTGTCCTCAGCGAACATCTGCTGCCAATCCTCCTCTTTTTGCTGAGGAAGACTGGCCCTGAGCTAACATCCGTGCCCATCTTCCTCTGCTTTATATGTGGGACGCCTACCACAGCATGGCTAGATGAGTGGTGTGTAGGTCCACACCTGGGATCCAAACCAGCAAACCCTGGCCACCGAAGTGGAGTGTGCAAACATAACCACTACGCCACCAGGCCAGCCCCAAGATGACAATTTTTATGTTATGTGTTTTTTACCATAATAAAAATATTGGGAAAAAAAGATAGGGTTCAGGTGTAGTAATCTGGAAATTGTTTGCAATATTGTAATGTTATATATAAAAAAAGAACAAGGGGAAAATTCCATACTCATACAATATGATTTAAACTATATTAAAAGAGACACAAATTATTTTTTTTAAAAAAAGCAAAAACTAAGAGAAATACATCAGATGTACCTGTGGTTATGCAAGGTGGAAAGACAGTGATTTTTTTTCTTTCTAATTTTTTATTTTCAAATAGTTTTTAATGAGCAACTATGATTTCTATAATGGACCTCCCCTGCCACTGAAATATATAATGTTTTGTCTATTTTGTTAAAGTTCCTAAAGCAGACTCTATTCTCTATTTGTTTTGCAGGTGGAGGATGCAATGCTGATGTTTGATAAGACGACCAATAGGCACAGAGGTAAGAACCCCAGTGGAAGAAGGTTACCCCTTCGTCCTCTCCTGGCCTCCATCTCTTCTTAGCCCCAGTCCCACAGACAAAAGGAATATTCCAGAATCAGGCAGGTGGAGTTGACTATCTGTTGAAGATCTGTATTAATGGAGGGCCACACTAGCACAAAGAATCCAGGTACTGGACAGTTAAAAAACCATTTCCTTTTGGCTTGGGAGCTGTCATTTAATTATGCAGCCCCGCCCAGCACCCATGCGGAGGCAGCTTTGTAATCCTCATGTTCTTAGTCCTTGCTAAACCTCAGCGTTAACTGATGGAAGTGGAAATTATTCATACACTTACACAATTGAGTTCTCAAGTTGCGTTGAAGGAGGGGGTTTAGCAGCACACTGTCAATCTAAACAACCAAAAAAAAAGCCTTGTCATTTATTCTGTGCGTACAGAGATGGCAGATTTGCAAAAGCCTTCTTGCGCCTCTGGAATGTTCAGTGGGCATCTGCGCTTTCTTGTAGTTTCTCCTGTGGTCCCATGCCCCATCTGTGTTTCAGAAAATGGGGCTCATCTTGGGGGCTGTGAAGCCCTGAAATGGCACACAGAATGTTTTATGTTTGTGCTGTTCTTGGGAGAGGATCCCTGACTTTGAACAGATTCTCAAAAGGGTCTCTGATCCCCGCCCTGGCCCCCGGCCCCCAGAGAGAACGTGTTGAAATGGTGGCTTTAAATGGAAAATTGGGCGGATCTAGAAAGTCCTCCCCAGAGGAAGCAGTCAAAGGCTATGGTTTGGCCTTCCATTCTCCTGTTCTCCCAGAAGATCCTGGTTTCTGGGGTTCCTGTTAACGGGCCGTTAATGAGCAGAGCTTCCGAAGGTGGCAGGAAGGAGGCAGGAAGTGGTGTTTAGAGAGAAGGAGCCGAGTGAGCGGTGTTTCCTTGCCACTTGGATGGCGTTTAGTTGTTTCTCGTGTTGTTTACATTCTGGCTGTCACCTGTGATTAGAAGCAGTTATCCAGCGCTGACTGTTTGTCTCTCCGATTCGGAGCAGGCAGGCTGAGTGAAAGGGAGGACGGAGCGGAGGGGGAATCATTGGTGGGGGCAGGTGGAAGAAGGAGGGGGCCGTCCTGAGTGTGCCTGGTAATCCGGCTTCTCATGCGTCCATCTACAGCATCCTCAAAAGGGAAAATGGAAGATTGGGCAGAAAATTAGGATGTTGGTGGTGTATATTGGGAAGGGAGGGGGAAGGGTGGAGGGTGAGGAGGAGGGGGAGGCAAGGAGAGAAAAGCAGAGCTTACAGGTGTAGAATGATTGCCCTTGTCCTCTCCATGGCTCAGGAGTAGTGAGAGGGAGAGGAAGGTGGTGCTGGTGATGGGCAACTCATGGTTATCCTCCATCACCATCCACATTGTGTCCATCTGTGTGGTTTCCCAGGCAACTGCTTCCCCAGGCATCGTCTCATTTGATGTTCACAGCAGCCCCAGGAGGGTTGTTGTGACTTTGGGAAAAATCACTTAACTTCTCCTATGCTTCAGTTGATTGATCTGTAAAATGGGCGTAATATTAGTACCTGCCTATAGGATTGTTGGGAGCATGTGGTGCCAAGCACATCATCTATGCATGAATGTTACCTTTTATTGTTATCGTTATCATTATCGTCACCTTCTTTTTGTTGATGAGATAACCAAAGCTCAGAGAGGGTAACTGATACACCCAAAGTCAGAGTAGGGACCGAGGCTGCTGATTTCAAATTCTCCTCTTTCTCTGTTGTCTCCACATGGGGATGGGTTTGTTCAGAAGAGTGTTTCCGTCTATTTCGTTTCGGCGTAGGCGAGGCCCGTCTGAATGTGGCCCTAGTATTCAGTGTTAGAATTCAGAATCCTGCAAGATTCCTGAGCAGCTTCCAGGCAATATTGTTGTCATATTTTTTTTGAACGTCAATGAGTGAAGGTATTTTTGGTCTCCTGCTCTGTGTTGGGCCCTGGATTGGAGGACGTGATAAACCATCTCCTTCAACCCTCAGAGCTGCGCTGGGAAAGGGGGCTGTCATTTGAGGGACCTGAGAGGGCCGGTGACTCTCAGAGGTGGATTCACACTAAGGACCTTGGGATCCTGGGCATAGCCCCAGAGGAGGTGCCAGGAAGAGTTCTCTTTTATTTCTGATCCAGCTGCCTGCTGCTATGGGTGAAGCCTCTTGCCTTTTTCCAGAGGTGCTAGGTGCAGTGAGGGGGCCGCTGTCCCTCTGTAACTGGGTGAGGAAAGCGTTTCCTGTTGTGAGGTGGGGGAGATCCACTCTGACTGGCCAGTGCTCAGAGTGGCCTCAGGGACCTCACCGCTTAGTCTCCCAGGTCAGGAGCTCTGGTGGGCATCGGCAGGAAGAAGGGCGGGCGGAGACCCTGGTACGGGCACGGTCCTGCCCCCAGCCAAGGCAGGACCTTCTGCCCTGCCGGAGTTTAAGATTCCTGCGGTGGATGCAGGACCCGTGACATAATTCGTGGAGCCAAAACGAGAGTGAAAGGCAGGACTTCTTATTCAAGAATTATTAAGAATTTCAAGAGGACAGCAGAGCATTCAACCCAGAGTGAAGCCCTTCTGAGCATGGGGCTGTGTGCGACTGCGCTAGCCACCCACCCACGAAGGCAGCCTCAGTGGATGCAGCCTGCGGGGCCGCAGTCCGATGCTGGTGGGGTGGGGAAGAGACGGCGTGAGGGAAGGTGGGCCTGGAAGCTTCAGTGATGAGCTGACACCCTGCCTCCACCTTCCTCCTGCACAGAAATCTGTGCCCCACCCCGTGTTCTTTCTGTGCAGGTGGGGGCTTTGGCCAGGACATACTTCCCAAACCTTCCAAACAGCTGTGGAGGGGTTTCTTTTTGAAATGGGTGATAAAGCTGGGGTAAGAACTTCAGTGATTCAGAGCATTTAGGGGAGGAAAGAATTTAAAAAAAAAAAGAACACATCACAACAGAAGCACAAATCATATATATGGAGCAAGTGGGCCCCACATCCCTGGCCTGATGGAATGTGCATTTGGAATCAGGCGATAAGCACCGGAAAATAAAATCCTCTTGCAGCCACCTTGCCCCAACCTTCCCTTCACCTCCCCAGCTTCCTGTTTTCCATTATCTTATCAAGAGGAAAGTGCAGCAGTGGCAGAAGTCGGGGACACCTCTCTGGTTGGCCCTGCCTCCAGCTTTCCTCTTAAAGAGACCCAGACCATAAACCGCTCTGTGTCGTCACAGCACTTGCTAAGCTCTTCTCATCCAGCTTCTAACCTAGCCCCGCTGGGCAGCTTGGGGCGTTGACTGGTCCTCATCCCCAGGCCTTTTGAAACCCACTTGTGTGCGCTTGGAGCTATGACAGCTGCTGTTCAGGGACAACTACGTGGACTGAGCCTGGCCTTGTAGGAGTCAGGTGGGCCAGGCTCATGGGATCCACTCCGGCCACATTTGCTGTTATGAGCCAGAGGTCAGGGCAGATTTTCCAGACCTTGCCCCACAGTGGCCACCTCGTGCCCCTGTCCCCTGTTGGTCCCTAGGGACAAGGGTGGCCCTCAGTTACATCTGCATGGCAGTTTGCTCCTCCTGCTCACAGAAGTACCAGCCTGTGTTTCCACCTGTTATATCTGCACTTGGACCTCACTAGCACCGTGGGAAAGAATCCAGGCGACGGGAGACAATGAGCTCTCCCAGGATGTGTGTCCTCACATCACGGAAGCAGGAAGAAGGTCATTCAGCATCTGACTCACATAGAAGCCTGGAGCCTTCCCACCCTTCCCCTTAGAGAGATCTCCTTCCAGCTTCTGCTGCCCACTTGATGCCTAGCCGGGGGCCCATCCCCTAACCTCTCTGGACCCCTCAGGCCTCCTCTGAACAGTATGTGAACTGACACTGATGAACTTCAGGACCTGAAGTATGTTCCTGGCGTTTAGCTTTTTGTCCAAGATTAATTCCTTTTTCGTTTTTTTTTTTAACCAGGGGAGGGAGGGGGCAGTTGTTGCTGGTTGGTGGGGTTCCCTGAGATAAGGATTAGGATGCAGGAGCTTCCTTAGGGAGTGCTCCTTTTTGTGTGTTTGTTTTTGGTGAGGAAGATTGGCCCTGAGCTAACATCTGTGCCAATCTTCCTCTGTTTTGTGTGTGGGATGTCTCCACAGCATGGCTTGATGAGTGGTCTAGGTCCATGCCTGTGATCCAACCCGTGCACCCTGGGCCACTGAAGCAGAGAATGCTGAACTTCAACCACTACACCACCAGGCCAGCCCCCCTTAGAGAGTGCTCTTGATGAGGAGTGGGCAGAGGGGGAAGCTGACCTGTGATGCCCTGGGGAATTCTGAAGATGAGGTGGTCCTTCAGCTGTCCCCAGTTGGCATGAGAGGACCAGCCTTTCTGCCTGTATGTTGTTCAGTCATTGGATGCAGCCCACGCTGGTAAGTGGATGTGATCTTGGGCTTGTACTGAGGAAATCCTGGAGGGGACCAACAGCTGGGGCCATCTTCCAGCAGCACTTCCAACAGCTGGGGAAGATGTCCTTCATTCCTGAAGGGGGATCTGGCATCCCATCCCAGCACACACCTTGGTGGTACGGTGGGTTCTGTGTTAACCAGGCCATGTTCATACTCTCCATAGAAACAGCCAACGCTTTCTGAGCGTTTCTATACCAAGTGCTTATGGAAGTGCCTGCACATACTGTTGAATCTTACGACAAACAGCCATTGATGAACAGAACCGCCCAGAGTCACGCACTAGTCACAGCAGAGCTTGGACGTAAACCCAGCCTGTCCGACCCGGAGCCCGTGCTCTTAGCCACTCTGCAAGCGCAGTGCTAGACAGTAGTTTAAAGCAAGGGCGTTGGTGACTTTAAGGGCTTCAGCACCTCTTCATTATTTATCCTTCTCCACACCAGCCCTGCTTGCTGGACTACGCTACACCTCCATTACCAGATGGAGAAACTGAGGCACCTTGAGTTTCGAAATGCCGCATAGCAGGTTCCTGCAGCCAGGCAAGGAGCTGAGCTATTGGTAGAAG